CATACATTTGCTGATGTTCATTTGCTAGCTTAATGAATAAGGCCTTTCTGGTGAGTTACAAATTCCCTTTAGTTTCGGGGATTCCTCCCTCCACTTGGACCAAAGATTAGTTACATTCATGGATGAAATTTGATAACAAAAGGGTAAACATTTGGTTAATAAATGTGCACAAAATTATCCCTTTCTTTGTACTGAAAAAGCTAAAAATACAAAGTGAAACGAAATAAGTTTTTTTAGAATTTTAGCATATCTGTGTTTTTAAGTTAGCAGAATAGAATTATGAAATAAAAAATGTTAAGCATGTAAAATAAACAGGATAATAAAAAATACGTTAGCCAATTGTTTTTATGGTACAATTGTGTAGGTTTCTAGCTAATACCTTAGGACTTGTTAGCAACCATATCAGTTTGTACTTTCAAAGACTTTAATTACAGTGATCTCAAATGATAATAAACTCCGAAAATATAATTTGATGTTTTAATTGCCGTTCTTACTGCTAGATCTGCGTATTTCGTCATTTCCTGACCAGTTTGACCGTTGTTTGTTGACTGACTTCTTTTACTTTTTATTGTAATATTAACAGATGAAGTCTGTTACCATCAGTTGGCCGTAGACAGAAGACCACCCTTGACGCTAGGTTCACAGGGTAATCACAATGTAAAGTCCACCTCGCGCCCCCTACTGGTATCCACCAACATCTCCGACCAACAGCTACTACCGTAGTCCAAGTCCGTGCTCAGATGACCTCCTGCGGCGACTTGATTCTTTTCAGCTTCTGACACTTAGCTATTGTAACGTTTAGTTAGGGACAGAGCACCCAAAGGGAAATAAAGCTGTTAGAAGGATCCAGAGTTTTGAAGTCGGTCGTTTATCACTGGCGATGACTAGTTATGAAAAGGGAAAGCCCCTTTTCAGTCAGGCCTTACTCAGCAGGAGGACTTAAACAACGTCATCTCTCCCACCCTTCCACGCCCTCTACCGGCCTGCTTTCTTTGTGCCGCTTTCTTTGCCTTTGACGTCCACAAAATGAACGTTTCTATCTCTGACGATTCTATTAGCGCTTGTGTAGTCGCACTAGCCCATCTGGGACTTCTTTGGGTATCACAGAAACGTAATCGATGTAGAACCAAACGCAGAAGTAATATACCCAATAAAACTTGATGAACGAAGACATTGAGCAAGAAGACGATGAGGTGTTTCCATGCATATTTTCTGGGCATGTTTTAAGTAAAAACTTGTGAATTAGAACACAGCAAGATTCGAGCATGAACTTATGGTGTCCATACTTTTGTATTCTCGGTCTTTCAAAATTTCACTACGTTGTGGGTACAAAGAAAAATACATCGTAAAAAGCAAAATGCTTAACAAAATCTTGACTAGCGCATTATAAAATAGTGGTTCTGATAACCACTTTGAGTAAATAATTAATTTGAATGTACCTTATACTTCGAAACGTCTGGTAAAAATCGGAATCATGTAGAAACAGGAACAGCACATTTAAGTTACAAGACTTACTTAATTCTGGGAACATCTACATTTGCTATATTCAGTGCCGACGAGGCTTTTCGTCAGTACTAGAACTCAATTTGGTCGGCAGTGGTAATAGAGACATAGTAATGGGTTTTTTGTTCAATGATACTACTAGTTAGCCAAGACGTGTTTAAAACTTCATTTCCAGGGGGTGGAAGAAAAATCAATAAAATGTGGATCTGTGAAAAGCTCACCCATTTTTTCTGCACTGTGGATGGCCAAGTTCCTAAATGTCCCCCGGTGAAACAGCGGTAAGTCTTCGGACTTACAACACTAAAATCAGGGGTTCGATTCCCTTCGGTGGACACAGCAGATAGCCCGATGTGGCTTTGCTATAAGAAACTCACACACGCAGTTCCTAAATTCCGAGAGGTTTTCAATTAATAAGCACATTGTACTGTGTGTGTGTGTGTATTTTTTCCTCATCTTATTAATTTAATTAAAATAAGTTTGAAATTTGTTGCACAAAATTAGGTATTACATGAACAAACATTCATTAGAATAGGTCCTCTAAATCTTATAACGCCTGGCATGGCCAGGTGGTTAGGGTGCTCTACTCACAATCTGCGGGTTGCGGATTCGAATCCCCGTCCCACCAAACATGCTCGCCATTTCAACCGTGGGACGTTATTATGTGACGGTCAATCCCTCTATTTGTTGGTAAAAGAGTAGCCCAAGAGTTGGTGGTGGGTGGTGATGACTAGCTGTTTTCCCTATAGTCTTACACTGGTAAATTAGGGACGGCTAGCGCAGATAGCCCTCGTGTAGCTTTGCGCGAAATTCATAACAAACCAAACTCCTCGGTAGACACAGCAGGTAGACTACTATGAAAAGAAACACACATACAATATGTCAACCACATTATATCTGCTATATCCAGTGCCAACTAAGCCTTTCGTACAATATCGGGTCTCTTCAGGACCACTGGGATACGACAAACATGTAAAGGACTCATATAATTTATCATTCAGTCCAATTTTATTTTTTTTTATGACGAAACTCAATTTACTGCTGATATTTATGTCTTCTTTGTATTTTCTAAAATGTAATCAGACTTAAATATTTCTTGTTTTTCGTTATTTCTTTGACACTAAAAAATTCGTGAAATTGAAATTTCAGTGCATAATCATATCTGTTATTGCTAATTATTTATATTTTGAGGATAATCTGTGATATGCGTTTTCATGACGCTGAAGGCATAAAACTAGAGAAAATGCATATTTCCAAGCTTAACTAAAGACGACATATATCACGCGCATTTTAAACGTGATTGTAGTTAGGCACGTGCTCACTTTCATTGTAACCCAGTTTCGTGATTTTGATCGCCTGTTTATCCTTCATTTATGCAGGTACATGTCAGCAGGTTGTTCCTGTTTGAAGCTTATCCTTAAAAATTTTGCCTCATTGATTAACAGTAATATCGCAGCGCCACCTGGTGTTGGTGTTGACATCAGCCGTGAAGAAAGGTAAGTTGGTTCTTGGGTGCTATAATAGAGTAAAAGCGAATTTTTTTTGGGGGTGGGGGTTGAATCCAAAACAAATCCTTGTCATATGAATAGGCGGCTACAGTCGAAAGGAACAGTACGTAAATTAGTAAGTAACTACAGTTACGTCCTCTTCCTGAATTGAAAATAGCCATTTTCTCCTCGAGAAATTGTTCAGTAATATTAATTAGCTCCACCTCCGTAGTTTGTACGGCTTGGGTGAGGGGCGATTTGGCTTCCTTCGTTGCCCGTGCGGTAGATGTTCGAGCGGGTCTGGGCGAGATTAGGGCAGTAGACCGGTTTGCTATTATAACTGTGACGCGTGAATAACAACATTTAAACGATAATTAAATCATGTTCTGCTGTATTCATCCAGAATTAGCACGAGGAAGTGAAAGTTGAAGCTTGTGTCACGCTTCGCTCTGTACTTTCTCGTCTAAGAGATGTCGCGTGTGAGCGTGCATGCACGCAACTAGTGTCCTGACACTGCAAATCGGTTGATTTGTCGCTCGTTTATTTTATCCATTTATGATCCTTTTACACAAGGAATACAACTAGTAATGGGATTTCTCCGTTGACGTTAATAAATGTTATATGTAGAATGACAGTTATTTTATCATTACCAATGGAAAGTTAATTGTTATGTTTTATCAGTTTATCTTATTCTTCAACTAGCCAAATCATAGACTGACCTAATTTTCTATTTTAGATATGATGGTATTTCTTTATCGCCAATAATTATAAGTTCACTCTTTGTCTCTTCTTCGATAGATACAACAAATGTGTGAGCTGCTATCACCAGTTGTTGTCCATTCGAGCTTTCTTGTTGAAACGACAGACGTTGTCAGGAAAGCTAGGACAGTCATTCCGAGAGCTTCAGCTCTTGATGCAGAGATTAGACTAGTTGTAGTGATAGCTTTTTGACAGAGCTTCTTCTATGGAACCTGAAGACCAGGTCAGAAGTCCAGATGGAGTCAGCCTTCGACTTTTAGAGAAAACTACAAAGATTGTTAACCCACCAATCCGTGTTAAGTGTCTTAACTGTTAGAACTAGTCAGGCAGGCAACACAAAAGGTGTTACAACTCTAGCTATCCAATTATCAACAGCTAACCAATCTCACATTGAGGTTTTTTTTTTTTTGGACTCGTTTGAGTGTTGGTAAGTGTGTGAGCTTAATACATTGCGATTAGCAAGACTAGATAGAACAAGGAGTTTGTGTTCTACTTTTAGTTTGTAACGGAAAACTTTTAATGACATTCTCTCGTAGACATGGCTAAACAAAATCTCAAAGTTGGTTAGAGATCAAGTCAGTAAATCATTTACAGCTAGACACTTCCAAGCAAGGACAAGTTATCAACATCTATTAACACTACACCTAATTGTTGGCTTATTTTGTTGTTTGTTATTATTACCCTAATTTCAAAAATTTTTCAAAATGGTTGTGCTCATCATGCACATAACTGATAAATATCATGTTGTTAGCTCATTTAACACAAACAATTTATTAGATATTTTTATTATATGTTTTAGTGAAATCCTACGACGTATTGGTAGAAAGCGATCGCTCTTGTCCTTTTGAAGAAGAGAACACCTTAAAAGATCTCGAGTGTTTTAGGTTACTATATTGGGCGTTGTGGTGACGTATCTGTTAGTAGAACATAAAAGTATTGCGGGTCAAGCTCACAAAACATGTAGATCTTATCTCCTATTCTGAAAACAAGCATGTACACTACGTCTGCTGCAGTTATTAGAAAATCTGGTTTGTTTTTAGGTAATAATATACAGATAAACTGACAGCAATGATTATGTTCGGTTCTTTTACTCTTAAAGAACACTAACGTAAGAGTTAACAAACGTGGGAATGTTTTGGTTTCTTACGTATAGCAGTTCAGTAAACACTAACTTAAGTCATGATGCCTAGTCCTGACATTAGTTGCATCGAACTGTACTTTGTCTGTCAAGTGTAGCAGTTCAGTAAACACGACTAAAGTCATGATGCCTAGTCCTGACTTTAGTTGCATCGACCTGTGTTTGGTCTGTCAATTGTAGCAGTTCAGTAAACACCGACTAAAGTCATGATGCCTAGTCTTGACTTTAGTTGCACCAAACTGTGCTTGGTCTGTCAAATGTAGCAGTTCAGTAAACACGGACTAAAGTCATGATGCCTAGTCTTGACTTTAGTTGCACCAAACTGTGCTTGGTCTGTCAAATGTAGCAGTTCAGTAAACACGGACTAAAGTCATGATGCCTAGTCTTGACTTTAGTTGCACCAAACTGTGCTTGGTCTGTCAAGTGTAGCAGTTCAGTAAACACTGACTAAAGTCATGATGCCTAGCCCTGACTTTAGTTGCATCGACCTGTGTTTGGTCTGTCAATTGTAGCAGTTCAGTAAACACCGACTAAAGTCTTGACGCCTAGTCCTGACTTTAGTTACATCGACCTTTACTATTTACTTCCTAATGTTAAGCAGATTAGAGGTTGAATTTTGATTCACATGTTCTGAAGAAGTAGCCTCGAATAACAGCCTTTGTGGTATTGAAAAGCTGCTCTAAACTTTTTGTAGCGATTCTCCAGTGTACTCTGAATGCCATATTATAAAAAATTTGCACAGTTAGAGAAAAATTCAACAAACATTTGCACAAACAAACATAAATTTTAATAGATTTTTTTAGGTACGAAGTTGATCCATAGTCTGCCAGCAAATAGTTATACTTGGGGAACGTTTTGGCATTCTTACGTTTGCCAGAATGTTTTTTTTTTTCAAATAGTGGCCGTTCGAAAGTATACACCGTAACGAGTTACACTTGATCATACCTATTTAACGCCAAGCAAGGCTCTGGTTTAATCTACTGTTCAATCTGAATAATTTAAATACCTCCTCCCCTCACTCAAAATACGGATTCGTGTGATCAAACAAAAGTGAAATCAACCTATTTAATTATTAACATGTCAGGTCCAGTAATGAAGTCAAAAAAGATGCGTAAAATACGAATTTATGACATAAAATAGAACGTCGTAATTCATTCTTATTAGAATGAAAGAGTGGAATATATGGTGCTGTTGTCAATTAACCACTTAACTTTTGAACATGAGAGTACAGCACTCCAAAAAGTGTTTAAAATAATCTTACGTAATATTAATCCTTTTTCAGGTTGTAGTTTTGCAGTTTCAATTTTTAGACGTTTATGTTAATGCATATGTTTAGATTATTTGTTAATGATTATTCAAATTTATATCGGCGATAAAGGTGCTATCCAAGGAATACTTTCAAAATCCAAATTCCAGGATACTCCCGTACCACCTTGTCGGTCATTCACTCTATGGCAGATTTTCCTAAACATTTGTCATCCAAATCTCCTCTAATAAATGTGTTTTCTTGCGGCCTTCTCCCCCCCCTTTTTTTAATGAGTGAAATAGTGAGTTAAGTGACCAGATATACTGATACATGTCAAAATACTTTGTGTTGTAGTTATTACTTATTATTTTCATTAATGAAAAATATATTAAAACCGTAAATTTTG